CCTTTCTGTGAAACTGTCGGACATTGGCTTCAACAGTGCAATGTTGTAACGGATATAGACGTGCGCATACAGAAATTGAAGACTAGTAATAGATGTTTTTTGTGCACTAACCGAGGACATACCAAAAAAAATTGCCCCCGTAGAGAAAAATTTAGCTGTTCCAAATGCAAGAGAAAACACCATACATCAATATGCAAACCTCTAACCAATGAGCAGCCTGTGGCTACATCTACAAACAAAATTGATATATCGTCTTCCAGTTTCGTTCATTTGAAAACTGCACGAGTTTTCATAACTGGGCCCACTGGCATTACAAAATTGACACGTTGTCTTTTGGATGGTGGAAGTCAATCTAGTTTCGTTTCTTCTAATCTTGTGGATACTTTAAAACTTTCAGTCATTTCAACCAGACATTTGGACATTCAAGCCTTCGAATCTCCAGCTAATGTTGGCTACATGCGAAGACAAGTCAAATTTCAGTTATCAAGTATCTGGGACAAATCTAAAGTTAATGTTACTGCATTCGAAGGCTCCAACAAATATGCATCACACCTACCTTCATCAACGGATGTTTCACTCTTTGCTAAAAACAAGCGAATGAAACTTGCTGATCCAGATGATTCATTGTCGAACTTACTAATTGAGATTTTAATCAGTGCAGATTTCTACTGGATTGTTATGAATTCTGAAGCTCAAGTCAGGTTGTCGGATTCTCTGGCCTTGGTCCCATCAAGTTTTGGTTGGGTACTTAGTGGAACTCGATCACACGCGACAGTTTCCTTCATTTCAACGGTTCATAATGTTGATGTTGATAATGTTGATGTGGATCAACGGTTCATAAAGTTGATGTGGAAATCACAAATGGAGAAATTAAGTGGCGTATAGTTTTTGATGCATCTTCGCATTCTCCAGGTCATCCATCTTTGAACGACGCTCTTGAAGTAGGACCAAATCTTCTTCCTGATATCTTAGCCACATTGTTGAGAATTCGACTTTCTAAAATAGCAATCACTAGTGATGGGCGACAAGCATTTCTGCAGCTGATTCTAGCAGAAGAAGACAGAGATGCAACACGATTTATTTGGTACAATACTACATATACTCCTGATGGGACATTCTGCACTGAAGATAACATTGTAACTTACCGATTCACACGTCTTCCATTTCGACTTGTCTCTAGTCCATTTTTATTAGCAGCTTCTCTTCGTGAATTGGCTACAAAACACAAACAAGCATATCCTACAGCAACTAGATACGTTGAAAATAACATTTATATGGATGATTTTGTAACGGGAACATCTATGGATACTGAAGCTCTGATTCTTTACCAAGAACTGCAGCAACTTACATCACTTATTAGCCTACCATTAGACAAATGGACTACAAATTCTAAGATTTTGAAAGATATGTGGAAACAAGAAAACGTCTCGTTTAAGGATATTACGCAGGTCTTGAGTGTTAAATGGTATACTAACAGTGATGTTTTTCAAATTGATGTGCAGACAAAAATTGTTCAAGCATGTAAAGAACCAGTAACAAAACGCTTACTACTGAAGTTGATGTCAAAGTTTTACGATCCTCTAGGCTTGTTTGCTCCAGTTACAGTAGTTGTGAAGATATTGTTTCAAGATACATGGTTTAGTGGTATTCAGTGGAATGAAATACTACCTCCATCTGTAGCACAGCAGTGGCACAAGTGGATAAATGAATTACACTATCTGAATGAAATATGCATCCCAAGATGGATCGGCTTTTCCGAAAATTCCGACGCTACCATACATGTGTTGTGCGACGCTTCGGAACGTGCATATGGTGCTCGTCACGCAGATGATATTTCTTCAGAGATCCATCTCATTTGCAGTCGAAATAAACTAGCCCCAATCAAAAGGGTAACCCTTCCGAGGCTTGAATTGTCAGCTGCACTACTAGGAACTCGCCTACTCCAGTATTTTTGCAAGGAAACGAACATGAATTCCTATGGTGCGATTCTACTGTAGCTTTAAGTTGTATAAAGGGAAATCCCAACCTTTGGAAAA